AACTGGTTCACTGGCTTAATGATTGTGTAAAATGTATTAAAAAAAATTAGATAACGAAAGCTTTACTACTTCATACAGTTTGTTAATACTTAAATAAGAACAATAAAAGGTCCACAAAAGTAGATAAATTTTAAAATACTAATGAAGAAATATTAAATAATACCTGACCCCCCAAAAACAATAAAACTGTTATTTAAGATATTTCCATATCGCTTCTTGATTGGCATCCTCACCCGAAATACTCTTCACTTTTATTTAAGCCTCAGCACGGTGTGATTTATCTGTAACCAGCTTTCCACTGTCGGAATAAGAGCCATTTCTTTGTAGGTGTCCTCAAACTACAGCCCGCTGGCCACATGCGGCCCGCCAGGTGCTTTTGCCCCATTTGTTTTTTTTACTTCAAAATAAGATATGTGCAGTGTGCATAGGAATTTGTTCATAGTTTTTTTTTAAAAAACTATAGTCCGGCCCTCCAACAGGTCTGAGGGACAGTGAACTGGCCCCCTGTTTAAAAAGTTTGAGGACCCCTGCTTTCGAGGTAGCCAATTCGACAGTAGCGACTGTGTTTGGTATATTAGAAACAGGCAACTGCCCTGAACATATTACAAGCCTTTGAAATAAAAAACCCTTTCTGCTGAACTTACATCAGTTGTTCTGGCAAATATTTTTAGCTCTTTGAACCCTTTCGGAAATTGCATAATTCACCCATCGTACCTTGTGGGAATGTAGGGCATGACAAAAAGCTGAACCGATGACAGTGTGTCACCCTCCGGTGGTTTGGCACTTCCCCTCTTCATAGCATGTGTTTGTGCCCTGAAGCACCAAACGCATGGGAGTAAACAATGTCAGATTAATCAAAAGTACAACTAGTTTTTTTTGTTTTGTTTTGTTTTAAAAGTACAACTAGTTTTATGAAACGAATAAATAAGTATTACAAGCACAGTTCCACCTTACATTTTCACACCTATGCATGGAATGAACATCGCTATCTATGGGTGCTTAGAATACACTGTGGCCGAGATGAAAGTTAAAAAAGTCTGGGATGTGGATGTGTTATTTCCGCACTGGGAGGCTGCCCAGCCACCCACCGTATAAAGAACTCCGATTACAAGTGCCACGTTAGCAACTGGTTCACTAAACGCAACCAAAAATCAAGTATCGGTTTTGCGGAATCAGTGAGAGCTGGCTGGATCTCACCACTGCCTACAGGGCTGCCCCGAGTCGGCATCAGAGTGGTGCCATGAGTTGGGTTTGGTTACAGGGTCACGATGAGTCGGAATCAACTCAATGGCAGTGAGTTGCTCTTTCCAGCAAGCCTGAACGACAAAGATCATACTATGTCTGAATGTATTCGAAGAAACACAGAAAGCATGCATTCAGCAACTCCATATTGATCATCCCAAGACATCTATATGTCAAGGAGTTCCGGTGGCGTCGTGGCCTTTGAATTGACCTGCTGACCACAAGGTCAGTGGTTGGAACCCAGCAGCCACTCCTTGGGAGAAAGATGAGGCTGCCTGCTCCCGTAAAGGTTTAAAGCCCGAGGAACCCACAGGGGCAGTTCTACTCTGTCTGCTAGAGTCAATAGGAGTCATAATCAACTTGATGGCAGTGTTTTGGGTTTGCCTGCCAAGGAGCCCTAGTGGCACACATAGTTAAGCTCTTGGCTGTTGACTGACGTGACGGGTTGGCGATCGGGATCACCCATCAGCTCTGTGGTAGTCACCTAATCTGGTGTCAATTTAAGGATTAAGAGTGGAGTCTAGGCTGTCAATCTGGAGATAGCCAATGAGACTTCTTGTGGGCATGGCCTTCTCCTGAGAATTCTGGGAAATCTGGGACTTCCTCCTTGGAGGCGGGAGACACTTCTCTCTCTCTGCTACTCCCTGGGAGACACTGCAGAAGACAAGCCACATGGATGCAACCAGACCTCGGAAGCCGGAGCAGCCGCAGAGAAACCCCTGCCAGCACTGAGATGCTTTATAGCACCACTGGACCCAAAGGCTTTCTACCCACTGGCTTGTGACTGTCCTGCATTCAGCATCATTGCATGTGTTTCGTGAGTCTGAAGAGGACTTTACAGATGGGTATCGGACCTATGGGGTAATATCGGACTTATGGACTTGATCTGGACTGGGCTGGGATGTTTTCTCCATGTTCAACTGCTCTTGTATATAAACCTCTTTCTTATACACATTATCTGTGTCCATGGATTTGTTTCTCTAGTCTACCCAGACTAACACAAGCTCCATGGGAGAAAGGCGGCGTGACAACCTGCTCCCATCAAGCTGACATCCGGGAAGACCCTCTGGGGCCCTTTCATTGCTGTCCCGTGGCGTGGCTCTGCGTCAAAACCCACCCAGCAGCACCCGAGAGCACCATGGGTCAAGTCCATGGCTTCGGAGGTGAAATGTCAAAGACTTGACATATGATCTGTGTCTTACTACGTGTGTTCCCCTTGGGGGTCTTTCTACGGAGTCCAGGTGGTGTCGTGGTTACACGCTGAGCTAGGATGGCATGGTCAGCTGTGGGAAACCACCAGCAGTTCCTCAGTGGGAGAAAGACCGGGCTTCCTACTCCATAAACCGTTACAGACTCAGAAAGCCAAAGCGGGTCTCTGCAAGTCCTCATCGACTCGCTGGCAGTGACCTGGAGTATGGGTCTTCGTGACACAAAAACTCAGAGGACCGGCTCTCTGCTTGTCCAACCCGAGCAATGAAAATGAGTCCTCCGCCATCCTGTGGATTGATTCTGTGTTTCATGAGTGAAAAATAATCATAACCTGGAGAGTGTTTCAACCCCTTTAGATCATCTTTCTATAGTTAGCGCTTGAAAGCCCCATTTCACCCGATGGACTCACCTGTCTTGTGTAGGGTTCTCCTCACCCTCTTTCTTTAAATGCTTGGTACCGAAATAAATACAGTGAACCCTCGTTTATCGCGGTTAATCGGTTCTAGACCCTACC